CACACACTTCTTGGAATATATTAAAGTTCTTGAATACATTTACGTCAATTCATGTATTTTTTGCGTTCATGTAGATGTTGATGAATGTGCTTTTGGTACTGACAATTGTCATGATAATGCTACATGTAATGATACCGATGGTTCATTTGAATGTAGTTGCAATGACGGATATTCAGGGAATGGTACAATCTGTGAAAGTAAGTGGACTATGAAAGCGATATTAGAATGGTGGACTGACTTCGCGGGTTCGCAGATTTAAGGACTAGCTTCTATTTTAAAGTCGCTACCGAAAAAGTGCTGCAGTTGCATGCTAAACTGACATCAAGCGTTCTATTTTATTTTATCTGGCCGTATTCAGTTAAGAGATGTGTCCTTGCTGCAGACTTAGCATTTCATTTTCCGAAAGCATGTATAGTTCCATTATTTTGCTTTGATTGACAATTTATTTTGTGCTTTTAAACCGATAATATCTAATCCTTAACATTATGTTAAAAATGAAGGCTACGTTCAAGTATTAATTTCTTCGATCTCGCATTATTTTATAAACAGAATTGCAATGTAGCTCATGAATTTATTCATTAATTAAAACTTTTCAGATATTGATGAATGTGTAGACAGATCTCATGATTGCCATTATAACGCTACATGTACTGATACTGACGGTTCATTCATTTGTTCTTGTAATTCTGGCTTCTCAGGAAACGGGACTTATTGTCAAGGTTGGTTTCAGAATACTTGCATATTGTGATTTTATAGACATTTAGTTCATAATTATTTGACCTTGGTCTATTGTCAAGCTTTCTCAGACTCTGACACATGTGCCTGCTGTAGGGCGATTCCTGTTGATACGCCCGTCAATGATTGGAAATAGAAGTTCGGAAGAAGTACGCGTGTGAAGAAGTGTTACATGCTTAGTTATACCTGAATTAGCCGACGTCTCCCAGAATTCAGGATTATGCTCATTTGAGAATGTAAAACTTGCCAGAGACCTTTGCGAATGCGAATCATGTCACCCGGGTGACATGTTGAAATCGTCTTGTGAAACGATTCTATCACCCGCTTACGTTAAATATGATGACATATTGGGGCGATTCGATGATAAACTTCATGCTCGCGTAGCATAATCTTAGCTTTCTGATTGGACACTTTCAATTTAAGGTATAACTTTAGAATTTATTATATACACAAGGTTTGGATATGAGGAATTCTGCAATCTGATTGTTCTCCAATAGCAGGATATTAGCTCATATCCTTTTAGTAGAGAAAAATAAAATGGCTGCTCGAATTAATTAAACTGAATTTCCGATATTTTGCGAACGAAAAAACGGAAAGTTGTTCGCTTTTTGTAGCCTTTGCAGGATTAAAACACAATGAAAAGGTTCCCACAAATTGTTTGTAGTCTAGGACCTGTATATGAGTTTGTATGCATTTCATTTAGCACAGGTAATCTCAACTGTTGTGGGTAAAATGACTATGGCGGTCAACATGGCATATGTGCCAAAACCTGAATCCGGGGCGAAAGTCCTGAACATGACCCCGCAATAATAAAACGGCAGTGTCGAAATAGCTCTGACTTCCGAAAAGGAAAATCGACAGCCTTTCTGAAGTGCTTCTAGTGTGTAGAGGGGTTGATTTTAGGTGTGGTCATTGGAATGAAAAATTTGTCTACGTATAATATTAAACAAGAAAATTACCATGCGCCACGCCAGGTAAACTGCTAATTATGCATAAAATAACTAATATGCCTGGCAGAAGTTAAATTTTCTTATCTCCGAAAAAAAATTATCATGGGATGAAAATCTATGCTTAATTTAAATTATTACTGAGGATTTCATAACAATTGTCATTTTTTTTAAATATACTACATTTTATTTCATCTCTGCCCCATCGAAAACACGATTTCCGCCATTTTCTCCCGCCTAGCTTGTTAGCTTTCTATCGCCGAGTCTTGCAAATATCATCCAGTTATTGTACTTTTACATAAGTTTCACGAAGTTTTGAAACAGTGCAGTGTATTTTATCTTCGATATTGTGTCCTTCGATATTTCGTGAAATATTGCGCCATTACAATGGCAATGGCTCTTCTCTGTTCGATAAATGATATTTCTTCGACTTACTATGCATTTAGATGGCAGTATCCAAGAATGGTTCGAATCCAAAAATTGAAAACATTAGTTGCACTTGCATGAAAGGATAAGACTTCCCATAATGTTTGTCCTGCCAAAATCCAAAAGAAGTAATTTAAAAGTCACGCGCAAAGTTCGCGAAAACTCCTCGTGGGCTATATGACGGGGATAAATATTTTCACGAAACGTTTGATAGCCACCACAGGAACCTAAGTAGTGCATTATATATATTGTATTTTTATGATTTATGAAGTAAATACGCAAATATTTACTGTTTTTATCATAAATCATAAAAATATATATAATGCACTTAGTTACGTTGCTGTGAAGGCGAACAAACGTTTCGTGAAAATATTTACCATCCTGTCATGTAGCCAATGAGGGCTTGCGCGTGACATTTAAATTACGTCTTTTAAATTTTGCTGGTCAAGTGTAATGGGAGGTCGTTTTCAATATTTGGATTGGGATTATTCTACAATGAAGTATTTTTGGTTGCTGTAATCTAAATGCATAGGAAGGCGAAGAAATAGCATTTATCACGCAGAGAAGCAGCGAACCATTAGACTGTCGCCATCTTTCACGAAACAATCGAAAGACACAATATCCAGGATAAAATACACTGCAATGAGTGAAAACTTAATGAAACTTCGTTGAAATCGTCTTTAGCCATTTATAATTATGTAAAATTCAACAACTGGATGATATTCGGCAAAATATGGCTGAAATCGTGTTTTCATGGAGGCCTAAGTGAAATAAAATGTAGTATATTTAAAGAAAGCAATGACAGTCTTTATGAAATCCACAATAATTATATTAAAGTAAGCACAGTTTTTTAATCTATGATAATTTTTATTAGGAAATAAGAAAATTTAATTTCTTTCAGGCATATTAGTTATTTTATGCATAATTAGCAATTTGCCTTTGCTTATTCAAATTTTTCCTTCCAAAGACCAACCCTAAAAGCAACGGTTCTACACTGTATGAGCACTTCAGAAAGGCTATCGTTTTTCTTTTCTGGAAGTTAAAAGTATGTCGACACTGCCTTTTCAGGGCGGGGTCATTTTCAGGACTTTCGCCCCGGATTCAGGATTTCGCACATATACCATGTTGACTACCATGGTCATTTTACCCTAAAACAGTTGTATTACCGGCTGCCCTAACTAAAGCGCGTACAAACACACATACATGTCCTATTACGTGTTAGCAAACTAATTTTTAAAATTTGAAGTTGTTGAAAATAATAATATATTTTTCGAAAAATATTTAAAATATCCGAAAGAAAAGTCCGTGAATTCAAACCTTGTGTATATAATAAAACACTTGCTCCCGCGCCACTCACTCAAAGCGATAAGCGATTTGGCGCCACGCGTGACATTCGCTATCAGCTCATATTCGACTCGAGTTCGTAGAATAACTGTTAAATATTTAACTTTGTTACATTGTCTCTAACACTGTAAGTTAGTTAGTAGTTTTTATTGGTACTCCTAGTTAATCAATCTTTTATCAATATATTTACTCCTATCCACCTATTATTTTATATTATCCACCTATTATTTTATATTTTTTTATATTTTTATATTATTATTTTATATTATTTTATATTATTTTATATTATATTATATTATAATAGATTTACGTCAATTTACGTATTATTTTATATTGTGTTTGTGTAGATGTTGATGAATGTGCTCTTGGTACTGACAACTGTCACGATAATGCTACATGTAATAATACAGATGGTTCATTTGAATGTAGTTGCAATGAAGGATATTCAGGGAATGGTACAATCTGTGAAAGTAAGTGGACTATGAAAGCGATATTAGGATGGTGGATTGACCTGTCGGGTTCGCAGGTTTAAGGATTAGCTTCTACTTTAAAGTCTCTTCCGAAGAGGTGCTGCATGCGTTGCATGCTAAACTGACGTAAAGCGTTCTATTTTATTTTATCTGCCCATGAATCGGTTAAGAGAAGTGCCCTTGCTGCAGAGTTAGCATTTCATTTCCCGATAGCATGTATAGTTCCCAGGGGTAATCTTAATTATTGGTAATTAATAGGTTTATTAGCATGACCATTAATTTACAGTATTGCTAAAGCATTACAAATAATATATAGAAGAAACTGTGACAAACTAGGACTATTACAGATTACTATTTGTAGAATGATTTATAACAAACTAATACAATATTAAGATGAATTAAGAGGAAAGAAAGAAGACAATTATACTGTTCACAAATAAGATGCTTATTGCAACCTTTGCTGATCTGTATTCCTGGTTTCAAGGTATTTAAGTTTTTGCTCGAAACATAAATAAACAAATATTAAAAGTTTGGTTATGATTTCACTATCAGTGGACTTCATAACGTCAGCTGATAGGGTTTGAGAGTTTAAATTGATCTCGTCAGATGAAGCATTCTCTAATGAACTTCGAAGGTTTGCACGAGTTGCTCAAGAGAGCAGGACATGGGTTTCATTTTTCCACTTGTCTTGAATAATTGTAGATTTTACATAAGCGTTCTTCATGCACGGGGTATATATTTTGATAGCACCCGATCTCAATTCGGAGGTTATGGTTGCGGACTCTAAATCTTGAAAGACATTTTCTTTTCTATGGATCTTTTATAACTACTAAGTAGTTTTCGAGGTTGTGGTCCGTTTTGAATGTTGAGTAGAAAGTCAGTTTGGATGAATTTTTAAGTTTATGTTTCCAAAATGTTAAGTATTTTTCCTCCAGTGTTTTGGTAATAGTTTTAATATGTTCAGTCACTGCGGCTTCTAAATTAAGGATTTCTTCATTTAGATTTAAATTTTTGATAGTATTCATTGCATTTCTGCAAAAAGACATTTTCTGCTTGGAGTTCAGATCTTTCGAGATTAGAAAAGCTTGTTTCGTAATGGCTGTTTGGGGAAGTAAGTTTAAGTGACTGATGTATATGAAGACCCTTTTGAATACGTTAATGATGAGAGGGAGTTTTCCAAGCTCAGCTTTGGAGGCAATGTTACTTGCTTCCCCACTGATAGCGAGGTAAATTTTACAGAACTTAAGATGAAATTTTTCAATTGGTGATTCATCCTAATTGTTGAAATCGTTTTTCACGTATGTCCCCCATACTTCCGAGATCTATAGGAGTTATAACGGAATCAAATATTTTAATGGCATATTTGGGGTTGAGATGGCTAAAATTGAGTAGTCTTCGTATACCGTATAAAGCATGCAAGTGTTTTTCGCTTAGTTGTTTTAGATTAAATTAAAATTAACATTGTGATTTAGTTTGATTCCTAGGTAACGGTATTCCTGTACGATTTTTATGTTCCGACTTCCAAGATTAAAAATTTGGTTTTGCTTTTCCTCTTTGTTTTTTTCAAATATCATTATTTGCGTTTTCTTCAAATTTATCTCTATAAGTAATTTTTTCTCCCACAATGGAGATTGTCTAGAGATTTTTGCAGGCCGAATTTTGATCGAGATAATAAAATTAAGTCATCGGCATATAGAAGACAACTCATTTTAGTCCCATTTGGTAGTTTAAACCATAGTCACTCAAGTGGATGGTCTGGAGACTTCCTGAACTTCGGAAGATGCCGCGCATATATGTTGAGCCAAGCAAACTTAGGGTGTCACGTGGTAATACACTGTGCACAAAAATAAAGATGGCGGGATGTGAAGAGCCATGCGAGAATGAGATCGTCGCGCTTTTAGAGCCGTTGCACTCGGATGTTCTAAACAGAGAGGAAGAACTACAACACGCTTTCGAAGAAGCAATCCAAGAAGTAAGTTGACATCGCCTTGACTGAAATGTCGAACATACTTAGCCAATATTTTGTGCGACATATTTCTGTACTCTCAGGTTATAAAATGGGATATATTTATATTTTGATGATTTTTCTATGTATATTCAGATGATGGATAGCGAATTTTGTTGCAATTTTTGTGGGAAAAAGTCCAAAAGTAAAGCTGGTTTGACGAGGCATAAAAATGCAAAGCATGAAAGACAAAGGAAATACTGAGTTCTTACAGTATACGCGACGGCGACAACAATGACAATATATTCAACATTGATGATTATTTTAACCTGGTAAATCAAAGTTGTAAGAGTTTAGAGAAAAATACTTGCAATGCAGAAAGTGTTAGGGAACGATTCAAGGTTTATGTTTTTAATATTGCTGGAAAGGAAGATAAAGAAATGTTTCTCAAATTAAGAATTACGAAACTGTATACTCTTTGGTCAGAAAAGGTTGAGTAGTTTACCTTTCCAGTCCTCAGTTTTGCATGCCACCAGATTGGCTGACAAGAATGCATCCTTTAAGAAAGATTCCAATTGTAGTGACATCAGAACATAGATCTACTGTAAATATGTTGAATATAAGAAGGAAAAAGCAGCATTGCAATACCTCGGTGGATATGTTCTATGTATACTCTACACTAACAAATTCAAAAGTCTAAAGATTGGATGACAAATTCCAAGCAGCAAGCTGGAAAACACTATAACAAATTGTTACTATAGCAGGAATTAACTTTAAAATTGTCATAACTGAGTCTGAGGAACCCATCACAGAAATATCAAAAACATACATTGTTGATAATCTGGAAAAAAGTCCTAGGGTAGTGTAGACAGGCTTTTCCACGAGTGGGTAGGGTCTGCTGATTTTAAAAGTATCTAAGTATCCAAAGACATTTTACACTAAGTCTTATTACTCTATATCAAAGTGAGATCATACAGTTTTGCAAAGGATGTGATAAATAAGTGTAAAGCCAAACAGAAGAGTTCAAAGTCAAAGACATTAAGAAAAGAAATAAAAAATAATTCAGATGAACCTTTAATTAATGACTGAAAACATGTAGACTTGTCAATTGTAACCTCCCAAACCTTGGGAAATGGTGGGGGCATATATTTTAAGATATCCATACTTAACTGTTGCCTGACCCCCTGAGCCAGGCTGACCTGACTAATCTTGTCAAGTCCCTCAATCCATGACGACACAATTTAAGAAAATAAAAAAAGTTATTGAAAAAATTTATTTGTCACCATAGAGAAACAAACAGAATATAGAACTTTATACAAACAAAGAATAGCACTAACCTGGCTTCTAATATTTAGGTCAGACACACACTCATCGAGACAATGCGAGCAGGCTGTATACGATGGCCCCACATACCAGGGTCGGTATCCATAACAGGAAAATCCCCTATTGTGTCAGGTGTAACTAAATTTCAAAACAGGAAAACACGCCACATGCCCCACCTTTCCCCTTGGGTCTGGGTTACAATTGAAAAGTGCGTAAGATTGACAAATTTTATACATACATGTAATTTTGAACTGTGCTGTTCTGTACTTAAATTTGACAACAACAACAACCAGTAATATATGTTACAAAAATATCCATAAGCGCTTAACTTTTGCAATAAAAGCTGATGGTCAATCAGGTCAAAAACGCCAGTAACGTGGTTTTTATCAAGGTCAAGAAGGATTTGGTCTAGTAAGCGAATTAGAGCAGTTTCAGTCGAGTGACGTTTGCGAAAGCCAGATTGCATGCCGTATAAGAAATTGTTATTGGATAAGTGTGAATATAGTGCTTCGTAGAGATGTCTTTCGTATAATTTTGAGAGGATCGGAAGAACAGATATTAGATATTATAATAATAATTTAGGACTCAATCCATCAGCACCTGTTGCTTTATTTGCTGGCATAGAATTTAGCATTTGAAGTACCTTTTCTGGAGAAACATGTGGAATTTCAAACTTTATCTTTATCTTTGGAGAGTTTAGCAGAGATTCGTTACAAAAAGTAGACTTTATAGATGATAAGAGACGTTGTGGTTGTCTAACAAAGAAAGGGTTAAAGATTTCGGCAATGCTTCTGCTTTCCGTTACAAGTTCTCCGTTTTCGTTTAATTGACGAACACCGTTGTTTTCTCCCAATGATGCTCTTGATAGATCTTTAATCAATAACCATAGTTTATTTGGGTTTTCTCGATGTTCATTTACTTTCGATTTAAAATAATTTTTCTTTTTATTACGGATTAACTGAGTTACTTTATTTTTGGCCAGTTTGAAAATTGACCAGTCATTTGCGTTGTTGGAAGCACGTGCTTGTTTTAGAAGTCTGTCTCTGATTTGGATTTCATTTGTTATATCATTTGTAGACCATTTTGGTTGGATCTTTCGTTTAACTCGTTTCGATATTATTGTTATGTGTTAAATAATAAAATCCCGCATATATGAACCAAGAAAATTAAAGATTTTACAGCCTGGAACTTGTATTTCACTCTTAGAAACCCATTTTTATCAGGAAAATTGAAATATGGAAAAGGTTCTAATAACAGTTTTGTAAGTGTACTTGCACCTGATTTTAAATGCAGGATTTTACTGCCCTAGGTCTAATTGTATAACCTTTTTCGTTTACGCCTGGGTAGTGGTTCATATGAATGTCATAGGTTGAAATAATATATGGACATCTACTTTCCGTATTCGAACAACATATTACGTACAAGTTACATTCCAGTCATTTAGTGCAATTTTTTACACTGCCTGCATGTCCCTTAAGATATATTATTATAACAAGTTGTTGTGGAGGCTGAGAATCTGTCCTGTACAAGACGTACAATGAATCGATGCTTTCGTTCCTTTTTTCTGGCTTCGTAATAAAGGACTAAAAGGAGTCGGATGAATTGGTTGGTAATTTTAGGTAGGCAATGCTCCATGGAGTCATGGACAAGCTGCTTCTTGGTCAGCTTTGGCCGTGACCTGAAAATGAAATGTTACAATCAAATATAAATTTCTCTTCAAAATGTGTAACTGTTTGTTTACAAATCCATCGACAGATCTATTGCAGATCGACAGATCTGCCAATCAAAGTTCACGATCAGAGAATGAGCATTAAAAACCGACAAGCTTTATATATCGCATAATATGATTAATGGGAATACGATACCACAAATGTACGCCGCAGGTTTTAACAAAATTACTACTATAATGTGTTCTATTTATACTTCTAATTGACTTACAAGTAATGATTTCTTCGGGAAGAAAGTGCTCGGCAATCATATGGTGAATCAACGGCCAAATGCCTTTTAAAATCTTTGTCTTCAACTCAATATATTTAGTAACGATGTTCAGAAAATCCATAGTGAAAATCCTGCCGCAATTTCTTGCTTAAATCGTCCTTCGCCCCTGGAAGCTTGAATAGCTCGATTTCTTTTGTTCCTCGGTTTGTTTGCATTGATTTAATGCACAATTGCCACCCGGCATCAATAAAAAATAAAATTTTCCTCATTTTAATTGCAAAATTGTGTATAGTTTGTATCAGGCCTCAGTTTGTATATTGAAATATGATATGAAAACACATGCGGATGTGCTCGGTGATGATGACGTCACGGCACAAATTCTCGACAAAAGGATAATGCCGACAGATTCCGAAGTCTGCAGACCATGCTCTTGAGTGACTATGTTTGAACTGATCAGCAGCTGTATTATCAAATAATATTGCTAATTCGTTTATATAGATGTTAAATAAAGAGGGACTCAAAATACACCCTTGACGTACTCCTTCGGAGTAAGAGAAAAATTCAGTCATTTATTTTGCTTTCATTTACGGCGCATTAAGAGTTTGAATATAGGCTTTTAATAAGGTTGTGGAGGTGGCCATCAATTTTGTTTTCAAGCAGTTCTAAAAATAGGAATTCGTGCCAAACGGAGTCAAAGGCTTTTTTAAAGTCCACAAAGCATGCATAGATTTTTTCGTTTTTCTGATTTATGTGTTTGGCAATTATTGTTTTTAAGGCGAAAATATGGTCAGCTGTTCTGTGGCCTGACTCAAATCCGATTTGGGAGAGGTGAATTATGCTTCTATCAATGCTAAATTTACTTAACTGTTGATTTTAAATAGTACAAAGGAATTTAGTGAGACAGCAGGTCACGCAATTTCCTCTGTAGTTAACCGGGTCAGTTTTATCTCCTGACTTAAAAATTGGCGTAATGAGCGAGAAGACCTTCTGACCATTGATCTGGGAAATGCCCTGCTTTAAAACGAGGTTAAAAAGTTTATGATATAATTTAGGTAATATTTTGACGCTATGCTTTAGCATTTCGTTTTTACCCTGTCGAAATAAGCAGATTTGTTGTTTTTTAATGTATTTGCAGCACTCAAAACGTTCGCTTCAGAAACAGGTTGATCAAGACAATTATTTTGTGTTTTTTCTTCAAGTTTTGTTGATTTTTGTAAAATGTTATTCTGTTCTGTTTCTAATGTTCGTTTAGCATACATGGATTGAAATTGAGCGAGCCAACTGCTAGCAAACACATCTGGTTTTCTCATGGAAGGGTCCCCAAAGTCATCACTCATTTTCTTCAAGAGTTTCCATCAGGAATTTGGGTCATCTTCAGAAACTCTTTCCAGTTCGTCTAGTTTATTTTTCATGGAAAAGTTATTTTTTGCGTTTAGAGTGTTTTTACAAATCTTAAGTGTGGCATGGTATTTGTCCCTTATTTCGACGTTAAAGGGATCATGATGTTTTTGGTTTGCGAGTCTTCTTACTGAATGTCTTTGTAGTCGACATTCTTTGTCGAACCATTTTTCATTACAGACATTGGAAGCTTTATTTCTGCATTTCTGCTTTTTGATTTTCATGGATTTTTTAGCAGCATGCACAATTAAATCTTCTACTTTTGAGGCAAGCAAGTTGACATCTTCCTTTGAAGGAAATGGATTGGAAAAATTAATGAAGTATTGAAGATTTGGTTGAGTTTGAAATGATTTAAGATTTTCTGTAAACTTAGTAATTGAGTCTTTGTCCCGTATGAATTGTTGTGGAAGCTTATGTGTTTTAGATTGTTGCGTGTCAGTAGTCTCACTGAGACCCAGCGGGTAAAATGACGTTGGAATAGACCTTCCAGACGTTGGATAGACGTTGAAAAAGGGTTGACTATGCAAAAAATTGGATCGACGTTACTGTTTCGACGTTGAAACAACGTTGAAATTAGGTTACCAATCTCGTCAACCATAATTCAACGTTGAATCCATGTTAAAACAACGTTGAGATTGGTTCACAAATCGACGTCGTATATTTAACCGTGAATGAACGTTAATTCAACGCCTGTTGGCTGCTGTTGAACCAATGTTTGTAAAACAACGTCAGAGCAACGTAGATATTAGGTTGTCGACGTCGCAACCTTTTTTCTACCAAATTTCAACGTTGAAACAACGTCGTGTGCCCGGTGGAGAGGGACATGAATAGAGGCTCTTTTAATCCATGTTGCTAGTTGACTATGGTCATATAGATAAATTGGAGGTTTGACAATAAAGTTTTCAGTGGTTTGGATTAGTTCATGGCCACAAATTATGTAGTCAACCACACTTGAGTCTTTTTGCCTGTGCGAAGTGGGTTTTTACTAAATGAGTCATAAAGGGTTCTACCATTCAGGATTCTCAGATTGCAGTTTTTGCAAATCTCAATCAGATATTTGTCATGTTTATTAATATAATTGTCAGAACTTTCCCTCATTTTTGGTTGAAAAGAGTTTCAGTAATATCGTTTATGAAGGTATATCCTTCTTTTCAGACAAAATGTCCAAGTTTGCTGTACGGGCATTAAAGTCCCCAGCAGCATAACATTTCCTTTTTTCGGAGAAATACACTACATCATTTTCCAGGTCATCAAATATGTCCTCGTTAAAGTAACATAAGTTTTGAGGACGAATATAGACTCCGCAAATAAATAAGTCCTTTGTCGTTGTCTATTCGACACCACAAGAAATTTTTAGTTCGTTTCTCGAGAGAAATGATATTTTCAAACTAATTTTTGAAAAGAAGCGAAATTTCTCCAGACAGACGGCAACAGGAGTTTGATTTAGCTAGGGTTGCCATAAGTGAGGATACAGCCTTGAAACCAAGAATGCTATTAATTTTTTAAGCCATATTTCAGTTAAAAAGATCAAATCATGGTCTTTTACATTATCTATGAGATCATTATTCCTTAGCTTATCAACAAGAGTATAATGCTCTAAATAATTTATATTTCAGTATTTAGCACTTATTGATAGCCTAGAAAACATTCTCTGCAAGTTTTCAAATAATTGGAAAAGGTTGGGCGTAGGAAGCATCAAAAAGGTTGGGGGCACCGTTTCGAGAGGCACTTTTAGAATGGAAAGGACACCTTAAAAATTTTTGCCGGAAATGTTGGTCACAAGGGAAGGGAGAGGGGGGTTGAGCAGGAAAAATAAATGCCATCATTAATCAAACGGCATTTAGGCTGACTAGCCGATGAGATCAAATGAAAGTGACACCAAGAATTAAGGCAGTTTGCGGGTTGTTTTAGCACACCGATTTCTGGTTCAGAAAGGCCCGATTCGCAGCCAAAGAGTGCGCCGGCAGCAGGCTGGTCATTTCTCATTGTTCAGCTGCTCCACTCTCAAGTAACCACAAAAACCCAAAGATATTGCTTTGCAACATCCGTAAGTCAAAAATGCAACCTGAACAACATTTTTCACAAAGGAAAAGGGCATTTTGCCACCGGAAAAAGGGCACATGCACTCTTTCTGTTATCTAAAGACTTGGTGGGGCCTTGGCCCCTGGTTTCTACGCCCCTGATAGTTCCATTATGTTGTTTTGAGTGACAATTTATTTTGGGCTTTTAAATCGATAATATCTAATCATTAACATTATGTTAGAAATGTAGGCTAAGTTCAAGTATTAATTGTTATGACAACGCATTATTTCATAAACAGAATTGCAATGTTCCTCATGAATTTATTCATCAATTAAAACTTTTCAGATATTGATGAATGTGTAGACAGATCTCATGTTTGCCATTATAACGCTACATGTACTGATACTGACGGTTCATTCATTTGTTCTTGTAATTCTGGATTCTCAGGAAACGGGATTTATTGTGAAGGTTTGTTTCAGAATACTTACATATTGTGATTTTATAGACATTTAGTTCATAATTATTTGACCTTGGTTTATTGTCAAGCTTTCTCAGACTCTGCTGCAGGGCGATTGCTGTTGATACGCCCGTCAATGATTGGAAATAGAAGTTCGGGAAAAGTACGCGTGTGAAGAAGTGTAACATCTTTAGATATACCTGAATTAGCCAACGTCTCCCAGAATTCAGGATTATGCCCATTTGAGAATGAAAACTTGCTACATACCTTTGCGAAAACAATGTTTTATTTTCCGATTAACGCCAGCATTGTTGCTTTTCTTTCGGAGTAAGTATCGTTTGAGATATTGATGACAACATTTTTCAAAAATTCCTTCAAACTTTTCAAGAGGTTCATGTTATTTTTGCATATTTTTCGACCATATTGTTTCTGTGATCGCCGCTCGAGGTTTAGGCAAATTATCTGACCCGGGTGACATGATCAAATCGCCATGTGAAATGGCTCAAGTCACATCAAATATGATGACGTATGGTTTGATTCGATGATGAACGTTTGAGGTACAATATTAGAATTTATTATATACACAAGGTCGGGATATTAGGAATTCTGCAATCTGATTGGTTTTCTACTAGCAGGATATTAGCTCGTATTCTTATAGTAGAGAAAAACAAAATGGCGGCTCAAATGAATTAAACTGAATTTTCGATGTTTTGCGAACGAAAAAACGGCAAGTTGTTCGCTTTTTGTAGCCTTTACAGGATTAAAACACAATGGAAAAGCTCCCACAAATTGTTTATAGTCTAGGACCTGTATATGAGTTTGTATGCATTTCATTTAGGACAGGTAATCTCAACTGTTTTTGGGTAAAATGACTGTGGCGATTAATGTGGTATATGTGCCAAAACCTGAATCCGGGGCGAAAGTCCTGAAAATGACCCCGCCCTAAAAACGGTGTGTCGACATAGCTCTAACTTCCGAAAAGGAAAACTGATGCCTTTCTGAAGTGCTTATAGTATGCAGAAGGGTTTATTTTCTTTTAGGGGTGGTCATTGGAATAAAAAAATGTTTAAGTATAATATTATAGAAGAAAATGTCCATGCGCTACCCCAAGTATGCATAAAATAACTAATACGCCTGGCAGGAGTTAAATTTTCTTATCTCCGAAAAAATATATACATCATGGGATGAAAAACTATGCTTAATTTAATATAATTATAAGGATTGTCATTGTTTTATTTTAAATATACTACATTTTATTTCACTTACCCCCTATCGAAAACACGATTTGCGCCATTTTCTGCCGTCTTGTTCGGTTTTTATCGCCGAGTCTCCAAAATATAAACCAGTTGTTGTACTGTTACATAATCACAAAATGGATAACGAAGATTTCAACCAAGTTTCACGAAGTTTTGAAAAAGTGCAGTGTATTTTATCTTCGATATTCTGTCCTTCGATATTTCGTGAAATATGGAGCCATTACAATGGCTCGCTGCTTCTCTGCCCAATAAATGCTATTTCTTCGACTTACTATGCATTTAAATGACAGTATCCAAGAGTACTTCATTCTAGAATAGTCCAAATCCATAAATTGAAAACATTAGTTGCACTTGAAAGGATAAAACTTTCCGTTATGTTTGTCTGCCCGATAAATGCTATTTCTTCGTCTTCTTATGCATTTAGGTTACAGTATCCAAGAGTGCTTCATTGTAGAATAGTCCCAATCAAAAAATTGAAAACATTATAGTTGCACTGGAAAGGATAAAACTTCCGATAATACTTGTCCTGTCAAAATCCAAAAGAAGTAATTTAAAAGTCAGACACAAAGTTCGCGAAAACCCCTTTTGGGCACAGAATACTACACAGAAGAACAGGTGGGAAATTTGTCTGAGCATGCGCGAGTAAAATGGGTCACGCAATTGTGTGGAATACACGCAACGCGTGTTTACAAAAAAGCACAATCGTGTAAATATTGCAAAATGTTTGTACAAAATAAATGACTGTTTTATGTTGAAAGAGTGGACATGATCTAAATCATACATAAATTTTAGTCACGTTCTATTTCAGTACCCTGCCATTGTCTCTGGTGGGCTGTCCGTCTGCATTCGATCTGAAACAGTTGCTACTTTGCTGTCGAAGAATTTCGAATGTTTACATGAAAATAGAGGCAAGTCATGCATTTTACAACCTCTTAAACTGTATGAGCCCCTATTTTTACGCTTATACCTAAGATATCAAATAAAAGTACATGAAACAGAGAACATTTGTAGAAAGTTTTATCGTGAGGTCACGGCCAGTTTTTAAAATATCTTTATTTCTGTTCCGGTCATCACCAAAATTACACAAAAGCCGGGCTTGGATATACAACAAATTTTGAATCGCATCAAGCACAAAAATACTTAACGTGTAACCAAAATATGCTCATGAAATCGAAATTAATAGCTAAATTTTCAAACTAGACCCTTCTCGAAGCGGTTTTCATGAAGGAAGTTCACATTTCGGCCTTTGATTCTTGGCAAAAATTTGACCACAACACGTGCGAAGCAACTGGGTCTCGAAGACTGAACTAAAACATTGTGAGCCCCTATTTTCCTGACGATATGTTTGATACCTACAAACGCCGAAAACTTTTTTCTTTTCATTTAGCTATATTTGAAATTGAGGCCACGGGCTATTTTTGAGAAAATACAGTTCAAAGTCAAGCTATTTTTACATATTTTCAAAATTTGTCAAATTTCGCGAGCTTGTATTTTGAACTTAGACAGCTGAAGTTACATTAACAAACATAGGATGGAAAATTTGAGGCATATAAAGTTAATTTCAACTTACATTTCATTCTCAAATCACGTCTTTCTTCGTTCATTACGGTTTTAAACAAGCCATAGATCGACGTATACGGTATTTACTCCCATGTTCACGTCGCCATATTAACTTCTTCCAATCACTCGATTACAAAACAATCATTCCAAAACAAAGAATTCATGATCGACTTTTAAAAGAATAACCAATAATTTGTAAATCGTTGAATGGAAAGCAAAAAATCGTCAGCTAAAAAACAGCTTCTTGCTAACTTTCTGCTTTGTTTTGAATGTAAATGCAATGAGCTTTGTTTCTGCCCGCAATTTTTTGGTCAGCGACGACAAATTTCCCACCTGTTACACAGAAGTCCATCTCCATTGTTTTTTTGCGTGAGCGTTATTCGTAATAATTCGTCACTTAGCAAGTACCGTAAACAGAATCGGTTACCCCCTGAAAATACTAAAAATGGCGCACGTCTAGGGAGTGACTGCTTCTGTTTACGATACTTGCTGAGTGACGAATAACGCTTACGCAAAAAACAATGGAGATGGACATCTGTTTAGTATTCTATGTCGTGGGCTACATGCCGAGGAATAAATATTTTCACGAAACGTTTCTTAGCCTGTACAGAATTCGAAGTAGTATATATTGTATTTTTATGATTTATGAAGTAAAGGCGCAAATATTTACTGTTTTTATCATATAATATATATATATATATATATATATATATATATATATATATATATATATATATATATATATATATATATATATATATATATATATATATATATATATAATGCATTTAGTTACGCTTGTGTGATGGCGAACAAACGTTTCGAGAAAATATTTACCATGCTGTCATGTTTTGGCAGGCCAAGTGTAATGGGAGGTCGTTTCCAATTTTTGGATTGGGATTATTTTAAAAATGAAGTAGAGGGTACTCTTGGTTTCTGTAATCTAAATACATGGCAAGACGAAGAAATAGCATTTGTCGCCCAGTGAAGCAGCGAGCCAATGGAATGGCGTTATCTTTCACGAAATATCGAAGGACACAATATCGAAGATGAAATACACTGCACTGTTTCAAAACTTCATGGAACTTCGTTGAAATCGTCTTTAGCCATTTATAATTATGTAAAAGGACAACAACTGAATGATATTTCCGAAACTCGACGATAAAAAGCAAGCAACGAGGCAAAATATGGCTGAAATCGTCTTTCCGTGGGGAGTAAATGAAATAAAATGTTTTACATTAAAGAAAACAATGGCAATCCTTATTAAATCCACAATAATTATATTAAAATAAGCATAGTTTCTCATTCTATGCATGATAAATTTTTTTAGGAAATGCGAAATATTTATGCATAATTAGTAATTTACCCAGGATGTCCATGTCATTTTCTTGTAAAATATTATACATATAGACAAATTTTCCTTCCAATAACTACCCCTAAAAGCAACAGTTCTGCACACTACATAGCTTGGATTTATATTCTTAGCTAATCAATCATTTACCAATACATTTACGTCAGTTCATGTATTATTTTATTTTGTGTCTGTGTAGATGTTGATGAATGTGCTTTTGGTACTGACAACTGTCACGATAATGCTATATGTAATAATATAGATGGTTCATTTGAATGTAGTTGCAATGACGGATATTCAGGGAACGGTATAAGCTGTGAGAGTAAGTGGAATATGAATGCGATATTAGGATGCTGGATTGACTTGTCGCCAGTTGTCGGGTTCGCAGGTTTAAGGATTAGCTTCTATTTTAAAGTCGCTACCGAAGAGGTGCTGCAGTTGCATGCTAAGCTGACATCAAGCGTTCTATTTTATTTTATTTTATCTGGCCGTGATTCGGTTAAGAGAATTGTTCTTGCTGCAGAGTTAGCACTTCATTTCACGATAGCATGTATAGTTCTACTATTTTGTTCTGAATTTATTTTGTTCTTTTAAACCGATAATATCTAATCCTTAAGTTTATGTTAAAAATGTAAGCTACGTTCAAGTATTAATTCCTTTGATCTCGCATTATTTTAAAAAACAGAATTGCAATGTAGCTGATGAATTTATTAATCAATTAAAACTTTTCAGATATTGATGAATGTTTAGACAGATCTCATGATTGCCATTACAACGCTACATGTACTGATACTGACGGTTCATTCAATTGTTCTTGTAATTCTGGCTTCTCAGGAAACGGGACTTACTGTCAAGGTTGGTTCCAGAATATTTGCATATTGTGATTTTATAGACATTTGGCTCATAATTATTTGACCTTGGTTTATTGTCAAGCTTTCTCAGACTCTAACACATGTGCCTGCTGTAGGGCGATTGCTTTTGATACGCCCGTCAATGATTGGAAATAAAATTTCTGCACAAGTACGCGTGTGAAGAAGTGTAATATGCTTAGATATACCTGAATTAGCCGACGTCTCCCAGAATTCAGGATCATGCCCATCTGACAATGTAAAACTTCCCACATACCTTTTCAAACGCGAATCGCCATCTGAGATGATTCAATCACCTGCCTACGTCAAATATGATGACATATGGTGCGATCCGATGATAAACTTCATGCTCACGTAGCACAAATTTAGCAACACAAAATGGTCGCTATCAGCTCATATTCGACTTGAGTTCGTAGGCCTAGTATAACTGTTAAATATTTCACTTTATTACATTGTCTCCAACACTAACGCAATTTTAATTGATACTCTTAGTTAATCAATCTTTTATCAATACATTTACTCCTATCCACCAATTATTTTATTTTGTGTTTGTGTAGATGTTGATGAATGTGCTTGTGGTACTGACAATTGTCGCGATAATGCTACATGTAATAATACAGATGGTTCATTTGAATGTATTTGCAGTGACGGATATTCGTGGAATGGAACAAGATGTGAAAGTAAGTGGACTGAAAGCGATATTAGGATGGTGGATTGACATGTCGAGTTCCCAGTTTTAAGGATTGGCTTCTATTCTAAACTCGCTATCGAATAGGTGCTTGCATGCCGAACTGACATCAAGCGTTCTATTTTGTTTTATCCGGCCGTGAATCGGTTAAGAGAAGTATCTTACTGCCGAGTTAGCACTTTATTTCCCGGTAGCATGTATAGTTCCATTAATTTGTTTTGGATGGCAATTTATTTTGTGCATTTAAACCCATGATATCTAACCATTAACATTATGTTAAGAATGTATAGGCTAATTTCAAGTATTATTTGCTTTGATCTCGCATTATTTTATAAACAGAATTGCAATGTAGCTCCATGGATTTATTCATCAATTAAAACTTTTCAGATATTGATGAATGTGTAGACAGATCTCATGATTGCCATTCTAACGCTACATGTACTGATACTGACGGTTCATTCATTTGTTCTTGTAATTCTGGCTTCTCGGGAAACGGGACTTATTGTCAAGGTTGGTTTCAGAATACTTGCATATTGTGATTTTAGAGACATTTAGTTGATAATTATTTGACTTTGGGTTATTGTCAAGCTTTTTCAGACTGTAACACATGTGCCTGCTGTAGGGTGATTGCTTTTCATACGCCCGTCAATGATTGGAAATAAAAGTTGTAAACGAGTACGCGCGTGTGAAAAAGTGTAATATGCTTAGATATACCTGAATTTACCGACGTCTGCCAGAATTCAGGATTTTGCCCATTTGAAGATGTAAAACTTGTCACATTTCTTTGTGAATGCAATCTTTTATTTTTGGATTAACACCAGTATCGTTGCTTTTCTTCCGGAATAAGTATCGTTTGGAATATTAATGACAACATTTTTCATAATTTTCATCAAAATTTTCAAAAAAAGAGGTTCATCTCATCCTCAGTATAGTTTTCGGCCATCCTGTTTGCATGATCGCCGCCCGTGGTTTACGCGAATCATGTCACCCGGGTGACATGATCAAATTGCCAAGTGAGGTGATTCAAGTTACCAGCTTACTTCAAATATGATGGCGTATGGTGCGATTCGATGATAAATTTCATGCTCAAATATAAATATGACACAAATTTCATGGCACAAACATAGCTTTCCGATTGGACACTTTCAATTTGAGGCATAACTCTAAAATGTATTATATACGCAAGGTCTGCACATGATGAATTCTGCAATCTGATTGGTTTCTACTAGCAGCATATTAGCTCATATCCTGCTAGTAGAGAAAAACAAATTGGCGGTTTAAATTAACTGAATTGCCGATGTTTTGCGGTCGAGAAACGGCAAGTTGTTAGTTTTTTGTAGCCTTTACAGCACTAAAAAACAAATGGAAAAGCTCGCACAAATTTGTTATAGTCTAGGGCTTGTATATGTGTTTGTATGCTCTACATTTCGGACAAGTAATCTCAACTATTTGGGGGTAAAGTGACCATGGCAGTCAACATGGCATATGTGCCAAAACCTGATTCCAGGCGAAAGTGCTGAAAATGACCCCGCCTGTTAATAGTTATTTATGTTGCATGCTAATTAGGTTTTATTATTATAATTATAAGGAACATGTTTGTGCTATATGCAAATTATCTCTAGGTATTATATAAGGACCTTGCTTGTATATAGATTATTTATGTTATTAAACTCATACATGACAAACATGGTGGCAGCGGTGGGATAGTTTTGTGGGAAAGTTGTCGAAGTAAAGTTTATAATGGCTTCTTTTCCGGCACATCAACGACCAGAAAGTCTAATAAGTGGAATTTCCCCTTTGCTTCACAACATAATGTAACCTTGGTGGCAGCGGTGGGATTAAAACAGCCGTGTCAACATAGCTCTAACTGCCGAAAGAAAAAGCGATAGCCTTTCTGTAGTACTTATAACGTCTAGAAGGGTTGCATTTCATGCACCACCCACCCCAGGTGCCACTGATATGCCTGCCAGAAATTTAATTTTCTCATTTCGATTTTTCATTTGTCCAACGGTGTTGGGTTGGTGGTCATCCTCACTGATCTCAAAAATATGGCGGACTGTCACACATAATGGACACTGATTAGTCCAATTTGAAGTTTGTATTATAACGACTTTATGACGAAAGCGAAATTGCAAACACTTCTTGATTTGATGATTGTTAAATTTCTTGCAAATATATTTCATTTTTGCTCGCATTTTTGCAAGATTTTGTAAATTTCAAAAGCTATCTCAGAGAGAAACTGCGAAAGAATCGGCTAAAAGAAGGGAGCCGACGTTAACGACGGTCAATTTGTTTTAAGTATTGATTTTATAATGGATTTAAAACCCGACGGCCTGTTGCGTATATGAAACAACTAAACAAGACAGCATGATAATTTCAGTGTATCTTTAATATTGATTCCTTTTTATATGATATTGAATTTTTGAGATAAAAAAGAAAGCACAGTTATTTGCAAGCGAGAATTTTGAATCATTTTATTGCAGACTCAAAGTTTATCGATAAAGCCATTTTAAACGGCAGTTTTGTTTTATGAAAAACACTAGTGACTTTAAAACGTTTTGTGGAGCGTTTGTGGTGAATTTTACCTTAAATTGAGGCTTATATTACGTATAATAACATATCTTAAATATACATATTGGGAAATTAATAATTTTGTAATTAAAAGTGATATTTTTAGGCGATTTTTCATTTGTAAGAATATTTTAAAAAAATTATCGTGTTACCATGACAACTACTTCAGATACTTCATGTTCGGAAAATACAATAATTTTGTCAGCAAGGCGAGAGTTTCTGCATGCATGTATTTTCTAGTTCTACAATGGTCCCAATCCAAAAATTGAAAACATTAGTTGCACTTGAAGGGATAAAATCTCTCATAATACTTGTTTTGCCAGAGTCGAAAAGAAGTAATTTAAATGTCACGCGCAAAGTTCGTGAAAACTCGTCGTGGGCTATACGACGGGGGCGTGAATATTTTCACGACACGTTTGTTAGCCTCTACAGAATCTAGGTAGTATATATTGTATTTTTATGATTTATGAAGTAAAAACGCAAATATTTGCTGTTTTTATCATAAATCATAAAGAAACAATATATATAATGCATTTAGTTACGTTGCTGTGAAGACGAATAAACGTTTCGTTAAAACATTTACCCGCCTGTCATGTAGCCCACGGGGGTTTCCGCGAACTTGCGCGTGACTTTTAAATTGCTTCTTTTGAATTTTGACAGGACAAGTGTTATGGGAGGTTTTTCCTTTTAAGTGCAACTAATGTTTTCTGTTTTTGGATTGGAATTACTCTACAATGAAGTACTCTTGGTTACTGTAATCTAACTGCATAGGAAGACGAAGAAATAGCATTTATTGGGCAGAGAAGCAGCGAGCCATTGTAATGGCGCCATATTTCACAAAATATCGAAGGACACAATATCGAAGATAAAATACACTGCCCTGAGTGAAAACTTCACGACACTTTGTTGAAATCGTCTTTAGCCATTTATGATTATGTAAAAGTACAAGAACTAGATGATATTTGCGACACTAGGCGATAAAAAGCAAACAAGACGGCAGAATATGGCTGAAATCGTGTTTTCGTGGAGGATAAGTGAAATAAAATGTATTATATTAATAGAAAACAATGACAATCCTTATGAAATCCACAATAATTATGTTAAGCTAAGCATACTTTTTCATCCTATGATAATAATTATTTTAGGAAATACAAACATTTTATTTCTGCTAGGCATATTGGCTATTTTATTCATTTTTATTTATTTATTTAAAAATATTTTACAACGATAACCCTTCAAAATCTACACATATCTGTTTTTCAAGAGGTCGTTGAACAATAATAGCACATGGAGTTACAAAAATTGCATCCACACACAGCTACTATACTATATATTATACAATTACTATATATTATGTTAAAAATATTTACAAGACTCAGCGACGGTCAAGAATAGACTTACTAAATTTTGCTACACCAATCCCTTTCTGTTTTGCACATTTTGGCAAGTCATTCGAAACTGATCATGAGGCGGCAGAGTAGGTAATACTTAAAATAATAAAATAAAATTAGTTTTTGGTTTCTTTAAAACAAAATCCGTATTCTTGTTGCGTAAATTATGATTTGAGTTGTTTTTCATTTCATACTTACCAATCATTGATTGTGGCAGTTTAATATTATTTTTAACGTTGTATGCAAACATTGCTTTCTTGTCCGGAAACAATCTTTCAAGGGTAGCCAGTCCAATTCACTTAATATGTTTTCGGAACTTATCTCGTAACCACTGCCAGTGATTACTCGTGCCGCTCTGTTTTATATTTTCGCAGTTTTTAATAAATAATCCGCGCATTCATCCCAAACAAGGTTGCAATGATCAAAATGGGACAAAACTATTGCATCATGGACTTTAATTAATGTAGAATTAGATACATATTCTTTAATTCGACGTAGCATACTTATGCCCTTCGAAACTTTTTTCGTGATATTATGCGCGATCTGAGAGTGTTCCATGTTAAATGATCGTCAATTACTACACCTAATGTTTGGATTTATTAACTCGTTTAATTGTTGCTTCTCCCAGTTCAAATTGTGGATTATTAATTATATTAGCTAGACGTTGTTTAGATCCTATTTTCAGATACTCAGTCTTTCCGCTGTTTAATGTGAGTTTATTGGCAAGTAGCCATTGATGTACCTTCTCCGCGTTTTCATTCAATCTTTCATTCATTTCATGTACGTTTGCTCCACATGATGATATATTTGTATCATCTGCAAACATACTACTATATCATCCGCACTAGTACTAGACGTAAGGCAGTTATGTAGATCATTAATATATATATGAAAAAGAGTAGTGGGCCTAGGTTTGAGGCCTGAGGAACACCGCACTTTTTGATTCTTTCACTAGATGTTGTTTGTTTTATTTTGCACATTTGTGTCCTGTTAGTTAAATAGGATCTGAACCACTTAAGTGCTTGTTCTTGTATGCCGTACACATTTTATGCATAATTAGCAATTACCTTGGGTGTGCATGGTCATTTTCTTGTAAAATTTTATACATAGACAAATTTTTCCTTCCAGTGACCACCCTCAAAAGCAACACTTATGCGCACTATAAAGGCTTAGGAAAGGCTATCGCTTTTCCTTTAAGGAAGTTAGAGCTTTGTCGATACTGCACTGTAAATCTCGCGGTGTTGCGGCAACACCAAAAAGGTGTAACATTACACTGATTAGGTGTAACGCGGATTTAAACACTGTTTGAGTGTAACATTACACTTCCACAGTGTAGCTTTACACTATTTTAGTGTTTTGGTGACACTTACTAGGTGTAAAATAGAAAATATCCTAATTACACCTAATTCGGTGTAGATTTACATTATAACGGTGTAACCTTACCTCTTCTCCCTGTTAATTTACACTTTGCGATGGTGTAAACATACACTTATTTGGTGTAAAATATGCCAACACTTGCGAAATGTAAATTTACACTTTTCCTGCCGTATTATTACACCTAGAATGCGTTAAAATACACTGAGCTGCAGTGAAGTAGAAACTAATGTATTAGTTATTATTGCGGTGTAAATTTACCATTAACTAGTGTAAATTTACCCAATGATTGTGTATGAGATAACACCATAATAACGTAAATATACACCGGTATGGTGTAAAAAATATGAATGCTTACTTAGTGTAAATCTACACTGAACCTGGAGTATAATTACACTAAGACCATGTTAAGATACACTGATGTAGTGTAAAGTAGAAACCGAAGTATTGACACCTTTTATGCTGTAAATTTACCCTCAAACGGTGTAAATTTACCCAAATCTTGTGTATGAAAAAACACCTTGATTGTGTAAATATACACCGGTATGGTGTAAAAAATATGAATGCTTACTTAGGGTAAATCTACACTGAACCTGGTTTATAATTACACTAAGACCATTTTAAGATACACTGATCTGGTGTAAAGTAGAAACTGAAATATTAACGAACACCTATACTATGCTGTAAACTTACCCTCAAACTGTGTATGAGACGACACCATGATAGTGTAAGGTGTAAACCTATATCAGTGGTGTAAACATACACCAGAATTCGAATAGTGTAAAAGTTTGTATGGGGACCAAAATATACTGACCGGCTTACCCTTCACATTAGGGCTTTTTGAAAAGTCGGTGTAAAAGTGTAAAAGTGTTTTATAAGACTACCTTTAAACGGTGTAAACTTAAACGGTGCGTTTTTTAAGGTGTGCCATGCAGACCTCACATTGTTAATTTTTTATTGCAATCTGTTACCTCCATATATTAAGTTTTCCCAATCTAATCTTTTTTTGTGGCCCCTTAGGCCCGGTTTAGACGGCGAACTTTTCATGCGCCGAATCTAATGCAAGGATTAAGTGCGACGTTGGAGCGGCGTCTAAATCAATTAAGTTCGGCAGGTTTTGATTAAGTTCGACACGACTCGAAGATGCGACAGGACAAGTCGTATATGCGACACAGGTTCGACATTGATTTAGACGCCGTGCTTTTCATGCGCCGAACCTAATGCATAATTATTTTTTAACATCATAATATGATTATCATATATTTGCATTGTAAATATTTCCAATATAATGTGTTCGCAATTTGGTACGGTGTAATTAAGTTCGACGTCTAAATCAGTTTCCGATATTTTGCCGTATCTACGACAATTAGATTCGGCGCATGAGAAGTTCGCCGTCTAAACCGGGCCTAACTAGTTACTTCTACTTTAATTTGGCCAGACTATACCCCCTCCCCAAATATGCCCTGCTGGCTATGGTGTACATTATATGTCAGAAATCCCTCCTTCTCGGTGTTTATCCTCTACAAAGTAAGACAGCTAGAATTTTGAAGATAGAATTAAGAGTTTCTATAAAAAACCGTACTACCAACCTCGTTCCCAGGGCTTCAGTGTGAGGGTTGCCGCACTACAGTTTAATTTGCACTGGATTGTCTACATGATTGAGATCAGTGCCTGCAGCAATCGCGTGACATATATGGGCTCCCAGAAGGCTTAGCGGGCACACTTCGAGCGCATCGTTTGGAAATTTAGTAACACTTGTTGATATGGCCACAGAGTAGAGACATACAGAGACGTAACTAGTGTACCCACTTTTTTGTGCGCATGCTCGGCAAGTTACTAGATGCATGCATCTGATTGGATGACGACCTGATGACGACTCACTTTAAACTTGCTGAGCACGCGCAGTTGATCATTTTTCGCCTGATCGCATGAAAAAAAGTGGGTACATGATAACGTAATCTTCCGCAGTGTTTACAACGGTCAGTTACGTCTCTGTATGTATTATCACAGAATAGGAAGTTATACCAGAAGCGTAACTCGAGCAAGTATTTGTCCGCGTTTTTACAAGCGATTCGTCATCAATCACGCCATCCTGGCTAGTACAACCGGCACTTTGTACCTACCAAAACCTGATAAAAACTTCCGGCTGTACTAGCCAGGATGGCGTGGCCTGACGTGAGCGAGTTAAAATTTTCGTGGATAAGGGAAACGACTAGAGTTACGCTTCTGGTATAACTTCCTATTCTGTGGTATTATCTACTCTGTGATATGGCCGAGAATATGGCCAAGTTTTCTTAATATATTGAAGAAGAAAAGAAGAAATACTCCAATTTTTGAACACCCACACAACAACTTTAAATGTAAGTGTTCAACTATGTCAATATTCTGAAGTTTCGTATGTAAATATGTGCCATAAATTGTTGTATAATTTCATGTATATTTTTAACCGCCGTGCCTTTGGCCGATTGTATATTTTTGTATTTGGTTTCAACAATATATTGTTATTAAAACTTTGTGATCTTGCTTTGTATTTACAGATTATAATTCCAAGCAATAAATGCTGTCATAATATGTTATTCAAGCAAGTCAAACTGTCGAAATCATGATATATAAAACGACAACAAACTGGAATATTCACTACAGTCTATGACAGGCTACAACTAGAAGGTATGAATATTGTTTATAAACTTTATAATGTATTGACTGAGACGGTATCAATATTGACTCATTTAGCAAATATTGATATAATCTCCAAAGCAAGTTCTATGACTATGGATTTGTATGAGAGGAGAATAATTTTTCCTTTGTCTTTAATATTTATATTGTGCTATCAATAGATTCCAGACAACCTTAAATATGCATGTTGCTGAATTCCCTGAATAGATTCAGGATATATGTTTTTCATAATTTTTTCTGTGTTGGTGTCATGTACTCAGGTTGTCGCACTCACCTACATTGGGCTAGTATTCCAAAGGTCATAGGTTTGATTCCCACCATGGCCAGGCATATTTTTTAAGCTTGCCCTGTGTGGATATATACTCAGAGTAACATCACAAACATTATGTTTCTCATATTTATACCTGAGGAATTCCAAGCTCAAAAATTATAGTGTATCCCTGATTGCCCTGAAAAAATATCCCAATATGCTAAGTACTATACAGACCATAATATGGTGTAATAGTAAATGAGTCATGTTCACATACCGTAAAAACAATCATTTTTAAAAGAAATCTATCAGGCGCAGAACACGAATATATGAATATCCCCCCCCCCCCAATTTTTGGTCTAGCTACGGCCCTGGTCAAGTTGTGTGTTTATATGGAACTGAGGCAGACCAGATACCATCTGGAGTTCATTGTAGTGTTGTGCCAACTACCAAGAAGAATTCATGATCCATGTTTACTTGAGACTTTTCAGGCAGGTCAGCTCAAAGCTAAATAAGAGCTGCTTGCTAAATAAGAGCTGTTTACATTGCCCTCTGAAAATGTACTACCGTACGGAACAGATAAAATGGCATTCTTACTGAATGTACCTGTGCTTGGACAAAGGTTTGAAATGCTATGTACGGTACCGGATATCATATCCAGGTTCAGGGCTGCCGAGAGAATTTGTTGGGCCCGGGGCAAATCTTCTTTGGGGGCCTCATGACTAGACCTTAACTAGATTGCATGTGGAGCTACTGTAAGGGGCCCTCAATTTAAAGAATGCTCTAACCAATTTAAAGGACCTATTCAATTTTAGGCTCTCAATCTCAAGTTAAGGCCCTATTCCCCCTCTCGGCAGATAGTGGATAGTAAAATAATCTTACTATCCAGTATTTTGGAAGAAACCAGGTTTGACCTTTGAGATTTGTGAGCAAGGCTTTGGCAATACCCTTGTTTAGAGTGAAGCTCTTTGTTATGATTTCACATATATTTTGAAGTCAAAGTATTATAAACACCCTCACTTTATAACCAATTAAAATAATTATTTATCTTTAAAAATGAAAGTCTAAACCTTATATTATATCAACAGTATTTGACCGGATATCCTTCAACTATACGTAATAGCTGAAATCTGGCTGGATTGCAAAAAGTTTTATCTGGTGATTCAGAATTGTAACTTGATCAATGTTGGAAATTTGTGGTTGAAAAACCAGGAGAAATGTGTTCCCTGGAGAAACACCCCACTATTGCCTCATCTTAAAAATAAGTTAGAATTTTGAACAATTTTTATCATAGCTTTAGAGTTGTGTGTTATAATATTTCCCTGGCCACTACCACGAGAATGAAATTAATTAATAATAATTAATATACATTAGGATGCACCGCTTAAAGCATTTTGCTATCCAGCTGAAGACCAGATATGCTGAATAGTTGGAAAATATCCTACCAGATTCTCCGGCCACATACTGGATATAGAGTGATTATAAAATATATGTAGGATATTTAAAATGAGATATAGACTGCCTATAAAGTGATGTTGTTTATATAGAGAATAATACATGGGTGCACAAGAAATACTGTACCAGATTTATTTCGAGTGTTGAACATGATATCTCACGAGTGAACAAGTGAGATATCATGTTCAATACAAGAAATAAATCTGGTATTTCCAAGCACCCATGTATTTTTCTGTTTATTATATAAAGAATAGTTTTTGAAAAGCGATAATGTTTACAGAAAAGCGATAATTGAAAAATGATAATTTTCACATGTGAGATTATCATGAATAATCTCACATGTGTGATTATCACTTTTATCAGTGCTCGAAATCTGTATAAAGAACTATACTTTTTATAATAAAATACAGTATATTGATTTGAAATGATAGGAAAGGACTTCACAATCAATTAAACCTAAAATGTCTAATATACTATGTTTATTATTTACTGTGACTGAAAATGTTACTGCCAGAAAAGTTTAACCAGTCTCTCTGCCAATGCGCCCTGTTAAATTGTAGCATGCCCCTAAAAAAGTGTTACCTAGTGATAGTTTAGCCAAACTTTCTGCCTATTTAAAATTTTAAATATTTACTCTGACATGTCACCAACAAAAGTACTATTAGATTGAGTTTGTTTTATCTATAAGTTGTTTGATAAACACATAAAAGGTGCAGTGCACTCTTCGTAATATTCTGTAATGCAAAATAATTATTTTTTCAAGGGAACGTGTTGGTCATGCATTAATGTTTAACGAAGGACAGTTACAGCAAAACATTTGTCGATTGTGTGCGCTGCTATATAGTGACGTGTCCTCATTTTTGACTGTGTCAAAGTGCCATTCAGCAAAGACTATTGGTTTTCAAATCACCTGTACTGGTAACATGAACTTTAATTTGGATTGTGAGTCTGTGACTGATGTAAACTGTTAAAATGATTCAATTGAATCAAAATATGTATATATAGACTATAGTCTTAAACTCTAAAAATAATTATAGTTTAAATTTGTAATAAATTTATTTTTAACTGTTACTACTTTGGTATAATATAATTACATTACATTGAACACTAGAAAGTAAGCTTTACACTGCAAGCATATTTAAACCTTGGGAAGTGTAAGTTTACTTTCGAGGTGTACCTTTACACCAATTTGGTGTCACCACAGAGGAAAGTAGATTTACACCAAAGAAGTGCTAGATAACCTATGGCAGTGTAAGTTTACTCTCTCAGTGTAAACAAACACCAAATTGGTGTCCCCACAGAGGCAAGCGGATTTACACCAAAGCAGCGTTAAATAACCTAGGACAGTATAAGTTTACCCTCTCAGTGTAAATAAACACGAAATTGGTGTCCCCACAGAGGCAAACGGATTTACACCAAAGCAGTGTTAAGTAACCTAGGATAGTGTAAATTTACTCTCTTAGTGTAAACAAACACCAAATTGGTGTCCCCACAGAGGCAAGCGGATTTACACCAAAGCAGCGTTAAATAACCTAGGATAGTGTAAGTTTACCCTCTCAGTGTAAATAAACACCAAATTGGTGTCCCCACAGAGGCAAGCGGATTTACACCAAAGCAGCGTCAAATAACCTAGGATGGTGCAAATTAACACCAAATGGGTGTTCATACAGACACAACTATGTACACTGAAGAGGTGTAAATTAACACTAAAATCGTGTTAACTGACACCTTTTCGGTGTCCCCACAGAGGCAAGAATTTACACCGATTTTGGTGTTGTGGCAACACTCCCAGATTTACAGTGTGGCATTTCAGGGCGGGATCATTTTCAAGACTTTCGCCCCGAATTCAGGTTTTGGCACATATGCCATCTTGACCGCCTTGGTAATTTTACCCTAAAACAGTTGAGATTACCCGCTGTCCTACCTGGAACGCATACAAACTTATATACATGTCTTAGACTATTACGTATACGTGTTAGCAAATTAATTTTTAAAATTTGAAGTAGTCAAAAATAATAATATATTTATAGAGAAAATAAGCGCGAAGATAAAAACATAAACACGGTAGAAAAATGTTGAAAATATTCGCAAGAAAAGTGTGTGAATTCAGACCTTGTGTATATAATAAAACAGTTATTCCACTGACTCTTGACGAATATAAGCGATAGCCGATTTGGCGCTACGTTTTGAGATTTGTAGATCTGAGAATTGTAGATTTGAGATACATATAAAAAAATATTCCGGACATATTAGAAAATATTCCTTAAGTTCATGTAATTTTCGCAAAGATACAAATATTTTTTCAGGACATATCAAATTTTCCCGAAGTGTTTATGTTTTGCCCGAATTTTGCATTGATTTTTGCCCGACAGTAAAAATTGGTGGCTCCTGCCCCCCAACACGCCTATGAGTTGAAATGTGAAACTATATCGTCCGAAATATAAAAGTTTTAAAATACACTTTTCACTTTACAAATTTCAAAAACACAATAGTACAATACAGTGTCAGGACACCATACAGCACAATGAAAACACGACATATGAAAAGAAATATAGTATCGTATACAAATTGAAATATTTATAGGATGTTTTAAAATCAATAATTAAATTAATATCACGTCTTTCCCCAACAGTTGGGAACGTCTTTGCTGTTTGTTTGAAGCGAATGTTTTGGAGTTTTAAATAAGTTTTAAATTGTCCGCAAATATGTTTGACACAGTAATAATAATAAAGAAATTTTGTTCCTTTTTCGTTTTCTGCGACAATTTTTTCAATATTTTGTCGATTTTGAAACCAAATTTACCGAATCATTCTTTTTGAAAAGCATTATTTACTAACCGGGTAGTAAATAATGCGTCTGATTTACTAGTCAAATAGTAACCTGAGTATCAGGCCGTACTTTTTAGGGCACAGGCACGCCTGATCGCGGGCGAAGGGGAGAAAAGTACGGCCTGACACAAAAGCGGCATTTTGCCTGGTTATTCAGTCCAGAATCTGGACTGAGCGCTGATTGGCCGATTAGACAAACGATTTTTTAAATCTGTCATTTGATTGGCTGGTGCTAATTAGATTATACTATTGTTGTTGATAGTATAACGATCACAACTACAATTATAGCCGACCCACTAAACGGCTGAATTTAAATTAAAACTGCAGTAAAATTAGAAAATAATCGCAAATTAGCGAAATATATTGCAAATGTAGCTTATATTAAATCGCCATCAGATTGCACTATCGACTAACTGACGTATAGTTATAAAGTATACTTAATATATATATATACTTTATAATTACGTCAGTTTGTTGATAAATGCGGTAAGCGCCATGTAAAGCTCATTGTAGTCACTG